CCCTTTCTTTCCACTCACTCTGCTGTCACCCTGAGTAATATTTATAGTCTTTATCACTTTATATATGTGGATTACTGAACATGCCACCTTGGAAGTGCTCCCAGCCTTTGGGTTTTGTCTTATCTGAGCTGCGTTACCTATGAGATCCCAGACTAAATTTCATGATATAGCTTTTTCTAGGGTTTGCAGACTGCTAATGTGTAAACCAGGTTCTCCTGGAGCCTAAATAAGGTCCCAGGAAACAGTGAGAGGAAAGTCTGGAAAGATAGGCTTGAAGGGAGAGACTAGAAGAAATGAGACTAGTCAGGAATCTATTTGAAGAGGACCCAACTGAGGGGGGGATGGAAAAGATGGGACACGTAGGTTCTCAAAGAAGAATGATGAATGAGAAGAAAGCAGGGAGAACCTCACTGAGGTCAGATCATATGTATATATAATGGGCCCATTGGACTTAGTGTCAAGACAGTGTGTTCGGGAGTAGAGAAAGTAGTACTTCTCACATACTACTGCCTCTTATATCTTTATGTAACATCCCTATGAAATTGCAAACACATTAAAGACCAGGGTCATGGCTTCCTTATTATTATCCTTACACATCCAGTTCCAGCACAGGGCCTAGTGGGGACAGAATAATCCAACCTCCTATATGTCTTCATTCTGTCCATACATCGAAGAATATTTAGGACCATCACAGGTATTTAAAATTGTTAGTTCTGCCAACTATCAGCATGTAAAACTCTGTTATCTGTCTTCCTATGTTGTTTTTAAATTTCTTTCATTTTGGGAGTAGGAATTGGAAATGGGTATATTTACATTTGAAAATTTTATTTTTCAATTACAGTTTCAGTATTTTGTATTGGTTTTAGTTGTGCAGCATAGTGGCTAGACAATAATATGCTTTACAAAGTGTACCCCTCCCCCCTGATATTTCCAGTACCCACCTGGCATCACACATAGTTATCACAGTATTATTGAATATATTCTATATACATATTTTTCATTGTGAGATAAAACTAGGGAGACCAGATGTCTGGGTTTTGTCTGGATTATCCCAATATATATCTGTTCTTGCAGTAAAATTTGTATTTCAGTATATGACTACAAGGTTGTAAGTAATCATCCTAAAGGTAAATATTTTTTTAAATTATTTATTTCTTACCCTAAGATCTAATGAATAAGATGTAGCTCTTGGTCTCAAGAATTTGATAATCTAGCAAGCAATTGCAATAGAAATCATTCAGTGCAATCATGGGAGCATGCACACAGTGTTGTTGTAGGACATTACCTATTCTTGGGCATTACTGGGAACACTTTTGATAGAAGGTGATGTCTCATTTGAGTTCTGAAGACAAGTAGGAATTATGTAGGTCAAAGTGGTAAGTGAAGTGAGGGCACAGTATAGGAGTCACTTTGGAAACAAAGGATATAGGCCAGAGACAAGAATTTGTCGAAAAAGAAAGACAAAGTAGGTGGGATCACAACACCAGATATCAGGTTATACTACAAAGCGACTGTAATCAAAACAGCCTGGTACTAGCACAAGAACAGGCATATAGACCAGTGGAACAGAATAGAGAACCCAGAAATGGACCCAAGGCAGTATGCTCAATTAATATTTGACACAGGTGGCAAGAGCATACAGTGGAGTAAAGACAGCCTCTTTAATAAATGGTGTTGGGGAAATTGGACAGCTACATGCAAAAAATGAAACTCGACCATCAACTTACACCATACACAAGAATAAACTCAAAATGGATAAAAGACAAATGTTACCCATGAATCCATAAAAATTCTAGAAGAAAATGTAGGCAACAAAATTTCAGACATCATACGCAGCAGAATTTTTACTAATACATCACCTAAGGCAACAGAAACAGGAAAAAATGAACACATTGAACTACATCAATCTCAAAAGCTTTTGCACAGCAAAAGAAACAACCATCAAAATGGAAAGGCAATCCACTGTATGGGAGAACATCATTGCCAATGATACATCAAATAAGGGGTTAATTTCCAAAATAATATAAAGTACTCATACAGCTCAACAAAAGGAAGACAAAGAATCCAATTAAAAAATGGGCAGAGGAGCTGAATAGACACCTCTCCAAACAGGACATACAAATGGCCAAGAGACATATGAAGAAATGTTCAACATCACTAATCATCAGAGAGATGTAAATTAAAACAACAATGAGATATCACCTCACACCTGTCAGAATGGCCACCATCAACAAATCATCAAACAACAAATGTTGGGGAGGCTGTGGAGAAAAGGGGACTCTAGTGCACTGCTGGTGGGAATGCAGACTGGTGCAGCCACTATGGAAAACAATATGGTGTTACCTCAAAAAATTAAAAATTGAACTTCCATTTGACACAGTGATCCCGCTTCTAGGAATATACCCTAAGAAGCCTGAAACACCAATCAGAAAGAATATATGTACCCCCATATTCATAGCAGCACTATTTATAATAGCTAAAATCTGGAAACAGCCCAAGTGTCCATCAGTAGACGAATGGATAAAAAAGCAGTGGTACATATACACAATGGAGTACTGTGCAGTTGTAAGAAAGAAAGAGCTCTTACCCTATGAGATGACATGGAGGGACCTGGAAAGTATTATCCTAAGTGAAACAAGCCAAGCAGAAAAAGACAAATACCACATGATCTCACTTTTATATGGAATATAATGAATATAACAGTCTGAGGAATAGGGTAGACCCAGAAACACGGAAGTAGGGTACAGACTGACAACCCTCAGAAGAGGAGGTGGTGGGGGGAGGGAAGAGATAAAGCACAGAACTTATATGCAGTATGCATAACCAGTGGACAACAAAGCCGGGGATGGGGTGGGGGGGATGAGGAGGAGGGGTGTCAGTGGGGTAAAAAAGGAGAAACACCTATAACAAAAATAAAATTAAAAAAAAAAAAAGAATTTGTCTCTCATGGTGGGGAAAGGGTGTCTTTTTGATCATCAGGTTTTGTAAGACAATGGTGAGAGATATAGTTCAGATCGTGAAAGGCCTTAATGTCATACATACCAAGTTCGAAATTGATCCTGAGGGTAATGAAGAAACTTTGAAGGGCTCTAAGCAGCAAGTGAGTAATGTGGCAACATGATCATATTTGCATTTTTGAAAAGTTGTCCTCACTACAGAATTAGACAGAGACAGCCGGCCATTGTGGCTCAAGGGTTGAGCATCTACCTAGGCATCAGGGGGTCCCAGTTCCATTTCCAGTCTGGTCACATACCCAAGTTGTGGGCTTGATCCCCAGTAGGGGGCATGCAGGAGGCAGCCAATCAATGTTTCCCTCATCCTCGAAGTTTCTATCTCTCCCTCTCCCTTCCTCTCTCAGGAATCAATAAAAGTATATTTTAAAAGAAAGAAAAAAGAATTAGAGAGCATTTAAATTGGAAGTTCTAGCATCATGGAAAGTGAGCTTGAGACCATTGCCATCATCAACGTGCGAAATGATGGTAGCTTGAGCTAAGCCAGAGGTATTGAGAATGGCAAGAAGTGAATGAATTTAAGAGACAATTGGGGGCAGAATTAACAGCATTTTAATGATTGATTATATGTGGAGTTTTAGGAAAAGGGAAATAAAATATGAAGCTCAGAATTCAGCTGGAGGTAGAGAGCAAGATAATGATAGGTTCATAGAAGAATTCTTTAGCACAGTGTTGAAGTGGTGAAGTATCTGTGGGACATCCAAAATGAAATGACTTTGGGTCTGGAGCTCTGTAGAAAAATTTAGGGCAGAGATAGACTTAAGGGAACAACAGCTTTTAGATGGCAAGTGAAACCATTCATAGGGACCTTTATATGATAGTACAAAATTTCTGAGATGAAAAATATAAATAAATTGTGTTCACTGTTTAATACCATGACATTCTTAGGGAATTAATCTTTTAGTGTTGAAGCTTCCAAGAAATAATTGTACAAAACATTTTCATGCTGTAATTCAGTTTTTAGCAGTTTGTTTTCTGAGCAGTATTATTTAGCTCTTTGTTGTTTATTCTTTTCCACATTATCCAGGTTTTACCGCAATGTGTGTCAGCTATAGAAATAAACACAAGAAAATGAGTTATTATAGAATTTTTGGAATTAAAGCAACATGCATACACTTATTAAGGTTTAGCAATTTAGGAGAAGTGTAGAAGGACTGGAGTTTATATATTTAAATTTCCCACAGTTCTAGAAAAAGAACATTTGTATTGAAAATCTGTTTTTTAAAAGTATATTTTTAAATAATATAAATAGAAAATATTTGTTGCTAATTTCTGCTCTTCAGTTTACAGAGATACTTAAAATTTTATAGTTCAAATAATTTAGATGTGCTCAGAATAAAAATATTTTCAGCTATAGATAGAATTTCTATCTATATATAGAATTATAACTGAATTCTTTTAGTTACAATTTTATCATAAGACCACTATAATTTTCTGCTATACAACTAATGTCCTTAGATATATTTTAATATGTCAGATATACCCAGAATGCGATTTCCCATCAAAGATGTGCTTATTTTATTATTTGAGTAATTTTTCCATTTATTGGCTTTAGAAAGAGAGGAAGGGAGAGAGAGAGAGAGAAATATCGATGAGAGAGAACATCGATTGGCTGCCTCCTGCACAACCCCCACTGGGGATCAAGCCTCCAACCTGGGCATGTGCCCTGGTCGGGAATCGAACTGGCGACCTCTTGGTGCATGGCTTGATGCTCAACCACTGAGCCACACCAGCCTGGCAAAGATGTGCTTATTTAAATATTTTGTTTCAGAAGATTTTAGTAGCAGTTAAGTTTAGCAATATTTTAATAATAGTATAATACTAATTTATTCTCTCTAATTTGAATTTTCAATGTCATCCTTTTGTATTATTTTGAGTAAGTCATAACTGTCTTTCTTATGCTACATAAGCAAGCACATAATTTAATTTTTGATTACTGTGACAGTAATTAAATACAGTATGTAATATATGATATTTGTATTTTTATAGGAAAATGGTTCTCCTGAAGAACATGCAATCTATGTGTGGGACCATTTCATAGCCCAATCTGCAGCTGAGAATGTATTTTTTGTTGCTCATAGCTATGGAGGACTTGCTTTTGTTGAACTGGTAAGTGCACATCTAACACTTTTTAATTTCCAAACTCCCTATAGATTTATCCCCTCCACTCCCTTTTTGTCGATATCATTACTTTAAATCAGTTTATAATGGATGAAAATAATGTCTTTTGAGTAAATAATTTTGTGATGTTTAAAAAGAATGTGCTTATTTATTTTAGTGGAACTTATATTTATGTATATATGTATGTATGTATTTATTTTTATCCTTACCCAAGGACACTTTTCCATTTTTTGTTCAGATAGCGTGGGAGGGAGAGAGAGGAAGAAAGAGAGAAACATCGATGTGAAAAGTATACATCAAGTGGCTGCCACCCAGACGACCCAACCAGGATCCGGGCAGACTGCAACCAAAATACCTGCCATTAGTGGGAACCTAACCTGGGTCTCTCTGGAATGCAGGCCGACGCTCTAACCGCTGAGCCAAACCAGCCAGGGCTATTTTGGTGGAGCTTTTAAATGCTAACCAGAAAGCTTTTTGCCTGTTATTTAATTATTACTTTTTAAATTCTACATTATAGCCCCAGATTTATGTTTCTTATTTTATGTATATACCATTAAAGCATATGTTATCTGTAAAGTGTTAAAACTTTCAAGAGACCCTTTGAATATTTTGATATTCTTTATCTGACATATCTTTACAAGTTAGCACTTGGTCAGAATCTACGTAATTAAAACTATCAGAAAGCTTCCATTAATCTGCTTCTAAGTGGGACTGGTTGCTTGGCTGTAAAAATCTTTGCATTTCAAAGTAATCTGATTCTTAGAGTTAAGATTATATGTACATGATATAAAAGTTATCAAGATTTCTGAATTTTATCTGTATTATCTGCAGTAGTACAAGTGCCAGTGTGAATGACTGAGATACAGGCAGTACTAAAAATGCACTGATGAAGAATTTGTGCCTTTATGCCCCAAACCCCTTATGTCACAGGAAGGTGCCAGTGCTACAATAAAATGATTAATTTGATTAAAGTACATTTGATAATTTTAAATTTAGGAGCCTCAAGTGAACATTAAGACAGACACAGCATTGGTTGTCTAATTTTTATGTTTCTAAACTTTGCTATGTATTTCTCTTTTCATGGAAATTAAATATATTTTCATGGCCTTTTCAACTTTTCCTCACCTTGTTGCTTAGCCACATAATTTAGATATAAAACTGGTGGTGACACCTGAGAATAGTTTTGCTGACCTAAATTTACAAATGCTCATGCTCTCTTAAGACCAAGAAATAAGTTAAATTGTTTATTTCTTAAATTTATTTTACTTTTTAGAAATGATTTCAAATACTTTTAAGCCTGTTGATTATTTTAGCATATAATGGATATCTTAAGATAGCTAACAGACTATTATATTATGACATACTTTTAAAAATGCAAATGTTTTCTTTTAGATCGTTTTTTTTTTAACCCTCCAGCTACACACACACACACACACAGCTTTCATATATGTAGCTTGTGTTTTCTTTGCACGTCATTAAATTACTAAGAACATGAGATTTCATTGATAGGGTAATAATTTAAAATATGTCTGAAAGCTGGCAAGAGTAGTCAAATTTAAGGTTTCTAAAAAACATAAATTCTCATGTTTTTACTTTAAAAATCTTTTGTGCATCTAATTTGGAATTCAAGTGAATTTTGGACAGTTTTTAAAATGAATTTAAGATGCCAGAGTAACAGATGACCAGTGTGTCAGTCTTATTTTGCCTGTCCTTGTCACACACTGGTGGATATTTCTCCACTTTTGTTCCACTTTAATATAAAGCACACAGATGTTTCAGAACAAGACTTGACTTCTGACCTTGAGGCTATTAGGGTCAGGGTCCTCAGGGCCTGTGAAATTATCACAAGCTGAGCTAAAGTTTTTCTCCATCACAGGAAGTACCCAGTAAGTAAGAAGTTAAAAAGGAGCTTTGTCAGAGAGACAAGATGGTCTCAGTAAGGGTCAGCTTCTGTAGTCTGCTGTCTCTGCAGGAGGTGCATGCATGGGAGGAGGAATATAATATAACCACTGGCACATCACATATCTGTCAGGCAACACTAGGCCTGAGAAGTCTATTTAATGTAATACACCTTGTTTAGGTTTTAAAATATTAAGGTGATTATCTCAACTTCATGTGTTTGCTACTTTTTGTGAAGTAACTTAGATGGGGGTATGTAATGGGAGCATACTGATGGTGGCAACTAAAGAAAAAGTTGTTCCTGACTTAATGGTATGGATTCCTCTAAAAATAATAATAACATTGTACACTGATGAGTTTTACATCAGTTTTGACAAAGTTTGGTTAATATATGTATAAGCCATTATATTTCTACTTAATTTCAAAAGGATTTTTAAAAGATAGCATTAATAAAGAAACAATAAAAAGACCTTGAAATATTTTTAAACTCTTTCCTTTTGCCTTAAGCTGAACAGTATTCTTACCTGTTCTCTTATTCTTAAGGGAAATATGATGTTTAAAATTTTGACAAATATTCATTCTCTTGGGATTTTTCAACATTAGTGTAATATATGAAATTGTTTTACATGGATGTAAAATTTTAATATTAACTTTATAAGAAGTAAATTGTGAACATCTTGATTATAGTTTAGTTTTTGTCTCAGTAATACATTAATACACATCAGATATTAAATCCTTTGGATTTCAGTTAAGTTAAACTTTTTAAAAAGTGTCACAAAATTGTCCTTGAGTTAAACTACACACACACACACACACACACACCCCTTCCTAAGTTGTAACATCATGTATGAGTGTATGGAGATTTTTTTTTTTTTACCATTCTCATGCTAGTTTATACTCTTTTTTTATTTTAGGTCATGAATTTTAAGAAAATTTATTTATAATGTAAATTATATGGATAGTACAGCATCAATAATACATGCAATTACTTACAGTGTTTATTGTTTGAAAAACAGGTACCAGTCAGGACTTATTCTAAAAAGTATCTTGCCATTTACTAAATTTAAATTGTTTATAATTATAGTTTAAAGTTAAATGTGCTGCTAATAGATATCTGAAAATAAATTACTTCTAAATTTAGAACACAAAATAGTTGCAGAGCTTTCGTATTTTGCTAATTATTGTTTTTGAAAACTGAGAACATAATTTATGATTTTATTCTACCTTGAAGTATTGAATTTTTCCTGAAGAATACATTTAGTTAAGAAATTTATTTTCAAAACCAATATTCATTTTATGGTAGTAAATCTTGGAATGTGATCAGGTCTAACCTCATAAAGACAGTGTACAGTCTACTATAATAATGAGAAAAGTGGTACTAAAAATATGTCTTTCACTGCTTTTATTCTCATCATATGGTAACAGCTCAAGTTTCCAATTCTCTAAACTTTGTGTTATCCTAGTAAAAATGGATGTTGATAAGACAGCTCTGGTAGCAATTCCAACATTCAGTCATTAGAGGCAAAAGGGAAGAGCTACTTATTTTATGAATTGATAATCAGTTTTAAAAAGTAACATATCTGCCCAGTGTTATTTTTTCTGTGTATTTAAAACAGTGCCAATATGAAAAATAATGCCAATATATGAAGTTATTGTTATTAAACCATCATTTGAGAAGCCTTACATTTCTGTGTTAGAAATTGTTTGATAGAATTACTAGGCATAATCAGAATGTGCTTACCAAATTTATTCAAAAAGACATCTACAAATAATGCAGCTTACTTTTGCCTATATTAGTTGAAGTTTGATCTCATTTGTTGGAAACTAACTGTCATTAAAAAACAATGCAGTTTTATACTTTTTCATCATTTCTTTCACCCGCCACTTGGATGAAGTGGTTCTGTTGCTTCCATTGTGGGTCATTTCAGAGTGCTTTGCTCCTGTCTTCCTAGGTGATAGTGTTAAAAAAGCAGGCACCTTTAACATTTTTTTTTAATTGTAAATGAGTTGGCTTTCCTATTTAATGACCAGTTTCTGCTCTCAGCTCACCTTACTTTCCCTATTTGCAGTGCTCAGTAAATCACTTTGCATCCACATGTCTTTCCTTAGTCAAAGTGAGTGTTGGTATTTTTTATAAAACACATGAAATAGTTGTAGTGAATATATTTTATTAGCTTATTGAATCATCTCAGCTAATAATATAAAATTTGTGTTTTATAATTTTATTTCCTTTTCCATGTTATTAGTGGTATATACATAAGCACCATTAAAAACATCACTTAGAAATGTATGAAAACTGTTCCTTTTGAAAGTGCATCTCTACCCACTTTTGATTTTAGTTTCTCCATGCTTGTCAGCACTTGATTGGCACCTCACTTGCATGTGAATTAAGGAATGAAGGGAACTCTGTTTTCCTGTCATTGTTCCATGCTGGGCTCCCTCGCCTTCAGGCAGCCTAAATTGACCTTCAGCAGCTGATATAGGACTAGTTTTTGGACATAACTCTGTGAGGACACTCAACCTCAGTCTACTCTCTAAGTTGATCTTTTAAAATTGCCTAGAGTAAGATTTGGATTTACACTAAAGAGGAAATGGAATGAGACTAAAAGAACTATTTTTTACCTTTAGTGACATCAACTAACTATAATCTTGAAGAAGCATTATTTATATTTTGTCTACAAAGAACAAAATAAATTGGATATTGGTAAGATGGCCCCTTAATGGAATCAATGACAATAGCTAAAAGTTAGGCTGCTGGAAATCAATAATTGAGGAGAGGGGGGATAAACCAAAGAAAATTTGAGCCATAATAATATTAAAGTAATTCGGGCCAAAATGCTTCTTACAAACCTACTTTAAAATGTCAGTAATTCACTGAAAACAAGTTGCCATTTATAATATAACTTGAATTTCTGAGTAGATTGCCTACATGATATGAATAGCATGTTAATGTATGGGATGATTAAAACTTGTATGGCATACTATCTTCATTTTTTAATTTTATAAGAAAAATATTTTCTCTAACTATTCTGTATGGTTCTTAAAGAGGGACCAGAGGTTATATTATTTTTGCCACCTCTATTCAATTT